ATTATCCGATCTTTATTAAACTTGGTTTTTGGTGCCTAGGAATGTTACCTTAAATTATAAAATTAATTTCACTATCCTAGCTACAATAGAAATATCCAAAGGCAAACATATATCAGTTATACCAATATATCAATTAATAAATGTTTTAGTTGAAAAATTAAAAATTTAAAAAATTACTTTTTGCAGTATCTAATTATGAACAATTTGATGCACTAATCATTAAAATTGAACATGTAGATTTTAAATGGCAAGCAATTGTAATTAAGTAAATTTGAAATACATTATGTTACTTGATTCTGTATCATTTGTTTGAATTCATATGTGAAAAAATACTACCGATCCTATATCTGAATATAAAGGTGCACTTTAGGTGCACTAGTGTTGCCAGATAAATTTTGACCAAAACTGGTTTCACATTATACAATCTAGCCAAAAACTGGACATAGTCATTTTGATGGGTTTTTATATAAAATATTTATATGGTATGGATATTAGATATGATTATAATATAGATATTATTTTAATAACAACATTATATAACACTATATAACAACATTATTCTGTTACAACAATACATTAATTAATTTTCCACGTTAATTTATAAATTAAAAAGTGAATGAATCTTATTTTTATTTTTTAATATAAAATATCACTAATTTTTTATACAACTAAGATACTGTAGTAATATTTTTGAATTTAGCTATACTATTACTAGCATTTATGTTTTACTTTAGCTTAGGACTGCTTTAATTCAATTTTATTGTAACTTATTATGCTTGTATCTTAATGTATAATTGTATTCTTGACAGTATTGTCTAATGTTGGAGATAAAGCAATGTTGATGTATATTATAAAACATGAATCGAATTATATTTAACTTTTTAAAAGTAATAAATCTAATATTATTGAAAAATAATACTTATTTTATATGAAGTTTTAATTTTGCTAAATAATTTAGCCCCAATTCTTGTTGTTATTAATTATAGATTATATAAGCGCGCAAATAATGTAGATTTGTAGCAAAATGTTCATATTGTAAAATAATTTCAAAACGGGACACATCAATGTCCAGTTTTACCCCTGCACTGGACACTGGACAGGACCATCAAAAACTGAACAATCCAGTCTAAAACTAGACGTCTGGTAAGCCTAAGGTGCATCTCTTGTTTTAAACTCAGATATAAGTGCATGTACCTATGTGCGGCGTCATACGGTAGTATTACTTATGTTAATATTAATATAATTTTAATATATTTACAAACCTTTTTTAAGGTAAGCTTTTTTTATGAGCCCGTAGTGAACAGTACTATATGCACTCAAAACAGTAACCGCTTCTGCCATTGACCAGTGCTCGGGAACAGTAGTCATATACTTATCGGTCGCCTTAACAGAGTTGGCAAAAGTGCGGCCGGACTCCATACCCATCACACGTTCCCCGGTGTCGGCCCTACGGCCTACGTATTCAGTGCCCAACACACAATCGGAAAACGTATCATCATCTCGAATTGGCATACGACCTGTTATTTGTATTGAAATATACAATATTGTAATCTTAGCCAATAATATAAACCGTTTATAAACCATTTTTGATGAGTGCATATTTGCATTAAAAAGCATTACAAAAGTAGGGTATCTTAAACATGGGTAGATCAGTCATTTGTAAACCGATTTTAATAAACTCGGCTGCTTTCAATTAATTAAAAGTTGTACTTTATATTTAGGTACTCAGTATTTAAGATTTCCTAAATATCTAAAATTTAAACCAGAATATTTTAACTTTGTTGAACAATTTATATTTTTGTGAATTTTTAAATGTAATCCTATGGAAAAAAATTAACATAGTAAAAAAATTACAGACGAAAGTATAGTTATGAAAAATTTAATATTATGATTAATTAACAAATTACATATAATGGTTAATCTGATTAATTAGTATTATCTAATTACGCTTACTGTTTCAAGAAATAGATAAGGTCACAAAATCAATAATATTTTAAATATTATATTTTTACAATAAAATTATTCCTGGTATACCAAGTGATAAAGAATTATTATATAAATTATATTAAATTAAACATGAATTATTTGTTTATAAATTCCACAAATTACTGTTAAAAAAAATATTCTAAATAATCTTATTATATAACATGGATAAAATAAAAATAATGTAAAAGCTGTAAAACCATCAGGAAAAGATGAAACATCCGTAATATTAGTGCAGTATTGTTAGTAATTAAATATATTAAACTTGTACTAGCATTTTCACAAATAACTAAATTAAGATACCGATTTTATGTTAGATAAATAAAATGAGTAAATTTTATACTAACGAGCAAAATATATATTTTAGAAATTGAAGATAATATATATTAGGTAAAGATATTCTTTATAATCAGTTAAATTAATTTGCAATAAATTATATTAAAAACAAAAATAAAATTTCAAAAATTTTAAGCTATATTAAAAATGTTTTGTATAAATTAAAATAATATCAAACAGTATTTTTAAAAAGACGTCAACATAATTGTATTAATTGTAATTTAAATTGAATTTTACCTGTTGCAAACATTACATCTCTGAATGTCAAACCGGAATAGTAAATATTGACTCTGTGAGTAATTATTTTTGTGTTGTTTGATGAATAAGATACGTTAGTTTCAGGAATATTTTGCGAATTATACCATTTAAGAGAAGCTAAATCACGAATTTGTCCAAAATTTAAATGATATTCATTTGATTCTATTTTATCGTAATCTGCGGGAAGTTTAAAGTGTCTATAAGTTCCCAGTTCTCCCCCTTTGATAACATTGGCGACTAAATTATTGGCCAATATATCAGAATAAGGTTTTGTATTAAAGTCAATGTTAGTGACAGTATTGGTGTCCATATGGAAGATATAACGAAAGTTCTCTCCGCCCGGTTCTAATCGCAAACAATTCATTAAACCAATGATTCCATTAATACACGAGTCGTTTGCCACAAGCCATACATTATCTGTTTTATTGTCCTCATCGTTAGACGCATGTGTAGCCGTTAGCCGTTTAGCAATCATGTGTTGCTGCAATAATTCAAACCATTGCTGATAATCATCGCTTATATTAATTAAATAATTTTTATCTGGAATTGTGTAATGCTTTTTAACTTTTCTGAATAATAGGCTTTGAGTTGCAATGGAATCATATTTATTGCAGATTAGACTAAGATGCAATTTCTCACAAATTGACATAAATTGTTGAATTCGTTCGTTAAGTTGTTTGTTGTTTATCATTGATTGTCCAGACATAGACATAAACGCAATCTCCGGCTCCGTAAACTTATACCGAAATATAGATAATAGGAATCCATGTGTTTGAAGGGAATCAAAGATGTTCTGAACTAATGACTGACAATCCAATTGCCATAAGTCTTGTGTATCTCTCAATATAATCAAATGCGAAGATTGTAATAAAATTTTATTTTTAGGATCCCATTCAATAGCATTAGTTTTATATATTTCAATGACATCTTGTTTTGATTTCACCACAAGTTTATAGTCGACATGAAAGGGAAAGAGTTTGAATTGTTTAATATTTTGTTCGACTTCTTTAGCCAATAGATTGGAAGTCATGTTTATTTCCGTCACTTTTAACTCTTTAGTTGTAATAAAGTTTTCGCAAACGATATCAACGAGCGATCGGATAAGTCGTTCATTCTTTTGGATTTGATTTATCATATCTTTACTTAATTCGTATTCCGGTTTCTCAATTATTTCATTTACTATTTTATTCATATCTCTATTGTTTTTAGCATTAATTTCATTAAGCATTGTATCAAATATACGAAACAAAACGTGGTTCTTTTTGTTTGCATTCTTATAATTTTGTATTATATTCTCGTCAATATTTTGATAATTAAAATCATGTTTCATTATTTTAAAATCTATTTTGTTCAAATTTGCAACCATTAATTTGCAGACCTATTTCATATACAATCAAATTAATAATATATTAATAAATATGGTAAAAATGAAATAATAAACACTTAAACATAGTATCAGTATTTCTATAAAATACAACAGATATGTATTCTAATAAAAATAAATCTGTGAAAATTCAAATTCAAAATTAGTTTTAAAAATTCAAATTTACCTTGTTGAACACCAAGTTTTGTTAAAAATGATTCATAAATGTATTTACAGAAATGTTTTAAGTCTATCAGTCAGAATTATTTCGATAAATTTACAACAATATATTTGACAAAAATAAGATTTTTTGACAAAGTACCTGTTTTAAAAAGTATACGGCCAATTATCTCTTAATGTAACGAGCTAGATAATTAACAATTCAATTCAGTGACTCTGATTATTTCAAAACAATTTGCAACAAATACTACCTATCATGACTATATCGGTAGTACTTTAATATAAAATATTGGGCTCACATATTTTACATTATTGACATCTTTAATTTGTTATTATAAAATATGTTTACCTCAATATACTCTGTAATAATATAGCAATCATTTGCATCGATTGCTGTTAAATCATGATTTATGCAAAAATCATACGATTCTAACACAATATTCTCGACGTCTGTGCGGCGCGTTATTGGCTGACTAATGACTCCCTCCATTTCCAGGCCGTTTGCCACAAATCGTTTAGATTTTCTATTGAAATGAAATGGCATTTTGGCTGAAAAAATGCAGAAACGACGGTTAAACGCATTGTTCAAATTATTTAACCCTCGTGGATATTTAGCACTATCATTGTCCGGTAGTACACTTGCCGGGTTAGATAATAGCGTAATTGTGTCATCATCACTATGGTGATTTAAATTATGGTTCACTCTGAGTGCGTTAAATAGGATTCGGGGATCCACGCGTACAGTACGGATCATCACCGGAACTACTATTACACAATTAGGGTGAATAAATAACGCCGATTGAAGCATTGAATCCAAATATGTGACAAAATTTCCGTCCCATTCAATGATGCCATAAATGTCGCGGAAATCGTTGGTTTGAATGCGTCGGAGGCGTTGAAAGTGCGGTCCGTAGTCGAGGCCCAGAACTCTTAACTTTTTATATATGTCTTTCTTGTCGAGTGAGTACTGACAACGGGCCATCTGTTTCTGTCTCTCAAATATAGCATTCGGCGTAAGTAGCACCTCGTTGTTTTGAGCCCGCACTTTCCCCACAACACACACGTTATCGCTCTCTAACACACAGAACTCGTCTGTGGAAACAATAATAGAAAATGACAATTATTTTAAATAATTATAATATTATTATTAATTATAATTTTTAATACAAACCGGTTTGAGGCAAATATCTCACTGTAAAAACAGTTTTAACCAATTCATTTAAAAACACGGGTCGTTTAAACTGTACGTTTTCAAACACTACGGGCACGTCATACCAGTAACGACCCAAACCTGCGGCTAATTTTCGCCACGCGAGCATTAAATAACCGGCCGCTGGGAATATGGCGTTACCATCAACACAATGATCCAAATAAAATTTATTTTTCTGATAATTAACAGGGTCGAATGTGTAATTGTAATCACTAGCAGTCGACAGGTTGTATTTCTTAGGATATAAACCAAATGGAATTTGTTTGTTATGTTCCCATCGAACAATAGAACTTATTGATTGAGTGCTTCGTACCACAGGCCACTCTACTTTTGTATACAAGTTCTCAACTGACATGTTTACGCCCGCCTCATATAACTTTGCTAATCCATTGAATAGAGTTCCCAGATTTGTATTGTTTAAACCCTTTTTAATGAGCGAAATATAAGTACAGTTGTCGAGAGTTTCGGTCACTATTTTGCCAAACAATGAATGCGGACCTAATTCTAAGACAATTGCATCCGAAGGCAGATATTTAAGCCGATCGTAAAACTGAACCGGATAAAGTAGATTGTATACAAAATACTCGGCCGAAGCGTATTCCAAAGCTTGATCGTCGGGATCGGTTGTCATGAGTGAAGTGGACACCCATTTCTGAGACCGGAGTTTTGGGTTTGGTATATATTTCTTAATAGCTTCAATCATAGGCTTTGCAGATGTAATAAGATATTGTGTATGTAATGGGATTTCACTGTATTCTAACTGTCGCACAAATATTGTTTTTTCGTTAAGTAATTTAATTACTGTTTGCATTTCATTTTTTGTACCTGAAATTAGAATTTATCTTAATTAATGTTTTCAAAGATTTTTTGTTATATTAGAAAATACCGGAAACAACGACAGTATCCTTTGCATTATTACAGGCAACGTATACCCCTTTAGGACAAACTTTAATGGCCTCATGACTAGGGAGGCCAACGACGGCCATCAATCCTTTGGGAATTTTATTATCGTTTTCAATGACGGCTCCCCTGAAGTACGTGACGACCATTGCATCACTTGTGGTGAGACACCCGTCAGCGTAAGCACAGGCTATCTCTCCAAACGAGTGGCCAATTATACCGTCGGGTGTGATGTCCAAGTGTGATGTCCAGCGCTTTCATCACTTCAAACAACGCTATCTCTATAGCAGTCGTCGAACAGAATTTTGCAGTCATTGAAGACATCGCTGTCTTGTCTTCTGATAACAACATGTGTTTCAAATCGACACCGAATTCGTGTAGTATTTGATGGCATTCTTCCACTTTATCGGCGAATATCTTGATTGACATCAAAGCCTTTGCCATTGCAGGCCATTGTCCGCCCAAACCCGGAAACAGTACCCATAAAGGTCTTATTGTTTTGCCTTTCATTACTCCTATTTGTCTTTTATATTCATATTTTGTTTCATTGTTTGCTTCCGATATCTTCGATATTATCATTGATCCTATATTATAATTATTAGAATAAATGCAATTATCCATAATTAATACCTCTGAACGGCATTCCGCCTGAATTAATATCGGGTGTAAATCTCATAACGGGTGCCAAAAGTGCCAAAAAGTCATTCGTCACTTTCTTTGGGTTGTTTTGTATGAAATCCATCACATATTTGACCGCATCTTCAGTTCGGCCGCAAATGTTAACAATTCTGGGAATCGTTTCCGCAATTCTCAGTCCATCACTCGTTCCCACTTTAGGGTTGGGTCCGAGCAACACGTGTGCGTTTGCACCTCCAATACCAAAGTTGTTTACCGCAGCCAAACCTATTTACAGTATTTCTTTTAATTGATACAACATTTCTTTAATACAGCATTATTTGGGAATGTTACTAACATGTGTTACAAAATCAGTATTTACATTAAATAATAGTGCACTATAACCGTTACTATTGACGTAATCGTCATTTTTCCTTTGTAAATAAATAAATGATTTTAAAGCCAAAATTATTATTGTTCTATATAATTAGATATTTGAATGTTAAAATTTGTTAAAACATGCATCCTGGAGTTATTTACATAAAATGAATATACTCTCGTTAAGTAGTCGAGTGATATAAATTATTTTTCTTACTCTACTTAATTAAAAATTTAATTTCATTTTGTATTCAAAGATTAAAATTGGAAATGTATTGAATTTGAATGAAAAAGCATTTTATAATTTGCTAAGTAATAGATTAAATTATGTAAGCCTTTATATAATTTAAAACGTTGAAATAATGCAAATAATAAAATGGTTAAATCCCCGTTTACTATTTACACTTGTGTGAGTTTATATTAGAGATTAAAAAGTTAGTATTGTGATTTCAAATTACAGTGCAACCTCTCTTGGGGAAACTTCTCTTGGGGAAACACCTCTTCATAAGAAACGGTTTTGAAATCTCTTTTGGATTTCCTATA